AGATGTATGCACCGATAAGTGTAAAGGCTACCTTCTTCTTTGCAACGCGGGGGCATACGTATTGATTTCCGTTATGGGGTTGCACCAAATGTGGACTGTAGGTTAAATCTGTGCGGATATATATATAATTACTTTGCTGGGCTCACCACAAGTCGATGAAGTGAAGACTTCGTAGCCAGAAAGCTTTATCGCTTTTGACAAATGTGGTTCACATATTACTAATATAGAAAATCTGTTGCGGAAAACGTAATGTCGAAAGCATGAGATCCGTGATTTAAGTCCTCGGGCATTCCACTGTAAAACTGTCGCACTACGTACTTCGTCTCGGAATGAAGGCAGTGAAAGAGCCATTTTGTCTATGCGAAGTTTGCAAGCACTGGACTCAGGGCATCCAATACTTGCACTTCGCATCGTGCTGTAGGCGTATTCGTGTTGCCTATAAGCGTGCGAATGGCATTGATGAGAGACTTAATCATTGTCAAAATTTCTCGGTCACGCTCTGTCGCCTCATCTTGGCGAGATGCAGAAAGTGATGCTACCGGTGCACGTTCCAGTTTTTCTGCAGGGGTTATCCTTAGAAGTGATGGCCGTGCTTCTTCCAGAGCCTCCTTTTCAGGGGCAGCATTCTCAGTGCACGTGTTCCTTCTGTCTGGCGGTGGTGGTGAAGCCGATTCAACGAAAGGAGGCTTTACAGAAGACTTGATGCTGTGGGCAGGCTTTCTAGATGAACGTCGGTGACGAGAACGATGTCGCCTGACGACAACAACCGCTTCTCGGTGAGTCGAACGGTCTCTCACTTACCATTTTCTTCAAAACCGAAATCTCCTGCCTTATTTTCGGACACTCTTTTGATGTGGCGTCGTGGGGACCTTGGAAATTCGGGCATTTATATGAATTAGCCTTACAGTTGTCGGCAGAGTGTGGTGCACCACAACGAGAACATGTTGTAGGATTTCCACAGACGGCGCTAAGATGACCAAATTTCTGACATTTCCGGCACTGAAGCGGCTTAGGGACAAATGGCCGCACAGCATGTCGGAAATGACCCATCTTAACATGTGTCGGTAGGCAACCACTCTTAAAGTCTATCTTCACACATCTCGACTTTCCTAGACGGCACACTTGTAGTATTTGGGGCCCATCATTAGCAGGCTTAATAAGAATCGGCAGATCTTCGTTCGAGATGGTCACATCGATGTCATATATGACGCCTGTAGTTGCCTGATTTCATAGTGGAATGATAGTGTGAACATTCATGCCGCCAAGGACGGTAACTTTGCTCAGTGAATCTAACGCTGACGCTGGAGCAACGTCCACTGCTACAACATTTTTCCGGGGATTCACTCTGATATCCTTAATACTGTTCGGCACCAGTGCCTCGAGCTCTGAAGATACAGCTTGCCTGTTCAGTAGTCTCATGTTCATGGATGATTGCGTAAGCAAGAATAGGACGGTGTACCTCAGCGGGCTTTGCGGGGCCCTCCCAGCAGATGCGTCCATGGATGCCCTGAGCATCCTCCGCTTTGCTTTCTGGCTCATGACGGTCACGTATTCGTCGTCGGAGCTGTCGACGCTCTCGGCAGTGCCAATGAGGGTAGCCTCGCTGTCACTGGAAAGGCAGTTTCGCTTCCTTGAGGCTGCCGGCGCTGTCGCCAGCCACTCAGGTGGGCGTGCAGATGAGTCCACTTCCATCGCCGCCGGCAAGGGAACTACGTTCCTTGTATAACTGCGAAAATAAGTTAAAAGTCTGAAGATGAACGGCAAACACTCAGCTACAGCAACACTTCGTCTTCTTCCCCTCTCTGCTACCTAAGGGTAGCATGTACAGTATATATCTAGAGGAACTACCCCATCTGCTGACATGGTTAGAGTGGAAATGGTATATAACTAAGCTCTCCTTCTTTTACTGTTGGTGTTTGTTACGCTCGGCCTCTATACGTACCTAGCGAGGCAAACTCTAAAGCCTGGAGAAATAATCGATGTTTGTTCTACCAGTTTTTTCATGTTTATTTGCTCCACGTTTGGCGAACGTTTGAACTCACATAAAACAACTTGACTTTCTTATTTTTTTAGATAGAGCTACCACCAACTAAAACCTGTGAGATTTATGATTTTATTAGAAGTATTTTGTTTGAAGCACTGGGTTATCAGGTTAGTGAGCACAAGTAGATACAAGACACAGTATGCACCAATATGCAATAGTCGTTGGTAATTGGCGTCTAAAAAAATACAGCTTCTACGGAGGCAGCAGGAACTTGACCTATATTTACTGCTGCCTTGTAGGTCGCCTAATAAAAAAAACATTATCTTCATATAATCCTAGAAAGGGGCCAGCTGCTTCATTATACAGGTGTTCAGAGTATCAGCTTGTATAGTTCTGTCGCTTCATCAGTAATGTTTGACCAAGTACCGCCACAAACTGCTGAATTCACACAGTAATAATTCGTAAACTTTTTGTCACAGCACTAATAACCTTCACACGGAGACTAAGTGTAGTGTAGTCTACAGAACCACTAAAAATATGGTTCTGCTTCGAAAAGAAAAAAAAAATCGGCAGATCCCACGTGCCTTGGGAATCGTTACGCGAAGCGTGTGGAGGGAAAGTGGGTGTGTCGCAATTTTTTTATTAAGCGACACATCATGAAATGACGCTCATGTACATATTTAGCGCCATTTCATGGCGCTAAATTTATATACAATAGTCGCACGCGCAGACAAACGTTGAAGAGTTGCAGATGTTTATATAACCAATGGTTTGCACTTGCACAACGATGCCAAGTGGAACATGCGCATTAGCAACACCAGAACCTGATATGGAGCGCTCATGCTCGCGAGAATGCTGACCCTGGACACTGCTACATAAATCAGCTTCAATGCAATGCACCTAACCAAAATTAACGTTAACCCCACGTGATGGCTGTATCAAAGAGTACATTTGTAATCTTTATATATTCGATAGGCAGCACTGCAACCACTATTCACGTTTGAGGAAGATTAGTGTCTATTCAAAATTAGTTCCGAGACCTGGCGTAGCACTGTTGTAAAATGCTTTATTGTCACGCAGTATGCTTGGGCTCAATTCCAAGTGGGACCCTCACATTCATTCTTTGCTTTCCTCAAGTCGAAGCTACCGATGTCAGGTATTTCTTAACGCTCGCTCGTTAAAATTGCCCATGTGTGCTCTCCTCATTCCTCGGTAGATACCAAGTGTCAATCACCTGTATCACATACACGCATATCAGGGGCACATACTCACCCGTGGGTATGTGCCGCTGTCTGGCGGGAAGTGTTTGACGACGTACGCGACGAGAATGAGACATTTTTCATGTTTTGATCAGCACTTCATATTCGTGAAACCATCTTACCCTCCCATGCTAATTTTGATTCACGCCAAATCAAGGGGTGGTCACGAGAGCATGCAAACGTAAGCAGCTAGATAGACAGATACGCTCAACGTCGCCTAAGTTCACTACAAAATGCTTCGCATTTGAAATATATTCACACGCAAACTTTCACTATTTTGCCCTTTTTTATTTGAGCGCAAATAAATTACTTATTATTTGATATCCAATATCTCTTCATGGAAAACTTGAATAGCACTTCGTCTAAAGACACGGTGAATGTCACTTTGTTATGTTGAACAGTATCGCCGTACACGCAGCACAGCGAAGGCTTGTACAACAAAAATGCCTTATATTGCTTCCACTAATTTCATTACTCTTAGGGGACGCTTCCTACCAGGCATTAACACCAGATGTCATTGGAAAGCGGAGATCGTAAGCTTTTTGAAGCAACGCAATTCGAATCTATTCGTCAAGCGCAGCAAGCACAGTGCGTCCGCAAAGAATGCGGACGCATTTTAGCGGAGCGGTTGTCGCCTGTGCAGGACCGCCACCTGAGCGATATGAAGCCTCAGTTTTTGGGAGCAAGCAACGATCCACGTGGGCTTTCTGCATCGTGACCCACATGATGATAAGATTGCGTCTGATTTTTATTTTTGCGATAGCAATTATATGGGCCCTCTCGGCTGAATTTTGACTTCGGCGTCGGTGTCGCTATCACTCACCTTATATGTACACGTATCCATAAGCATGGAAATGCAAGAAAGAAAAAATATAGAAAAAGACTTCAGCGCCCAGATTCGAACATCGGTCCTCTGAATGCTGAGCGTGAGGCTTTAACCACTGTGCTACCGAGGAGAACGTCCCCTAACGTTTAAACGGCAAGCTATTTATATCAACCACTTACCACTACTCGCGGGTGTCACGGAGGGAACTATCGTTTTTTCAGCAGCATTACCAGCAAGATGGCGCAATGAGCGCGCGTCGCCAGATTGCGCGGCGGTGTGCACCTTTACCTCCCACGCGTACTTTGTCCCGTTTAGAGAAGGGCGAGCGACCCTCCCTCGCGCGCCCTTATCTCACTGTGGGGAAGAAGGGAAGATCTTAGGTCTTGCCTGGCCTCACGCTTTAACTGGAACTATTCTGTTGTAGTTACCGGGCTCACAAAGGTCACTGCAGTCATTGCAGTCTCTGCGAAAAGCGCGTGCTTTTCAGACACAGCGAAGTAACAATTGAGACGCTTATTAGCTTGCATCTGTACCTATGAGTACGTTTCGTGCGTCATCTGTGCGTGAGAAACGCAGGTCACGTTTCGATCTTCTTTTCATTCTGCGCATCACATTCCAATGTGTTGCTATCGCGGTCATTGCTTTGCCTTTGCGGCAAAGCTGTGGCTTTTTAATGAACTCTCGCATTCTGAGCGGGGCGAAAAAAGCACATAAACTGCACTCAGTCGAGAAAACCCGTCGAACATGGAGCGTTGCTTGAAGTGGACATTTCGATAAGTTTATCTGCCTCTTCGCAGTAACCGCTTTTCTTAGGAGCGCTTTGCATTATGTTCGGCTACATCTTTCTCCAATCCGCCCTCAATGGAAAAGCAGGAAGACTGGAATGTTGCATCGTGATGTTACCTCTTCTGGACAGTGAAAATTGCCAAACTCAATTGGAGATGTCCTCAAATGAAAGGTTGAGGAAGATCATTTATTGAAAAAAAAACAACATTTTTGTAGTCTATATAACCTATGCCTTACCACTCTGTATAAAAATGGGGAATAAGATAAGGAGATTCCCGAAGAGAGGGATGAAAATAATAACAAAAAGTCACAATACAAACAAATGTAAAATGTGCAGGTGAAGCTGACAGATATATTTGCGACTGAGATGTCACGTAAGTGAAGGTTCTTCTGCATTAAAGATTCAATCACTAAATATTTATGACTAGGCCGACTTCTGACGTGTAATTGAACGACTGTAAAACCTGTCGCTGTTTTGAAAGGGTTGGGTGTCAGAGCCAATATCATTTTTATTTGTCGGTTGAGTAACTCTCTCATGCTGCATTACACACGGCATTCAGGTATTATGTGCTATATGGTCTCTGCTGTTACAGTCATCACAGCCGAGATTTCTGGCATTCCCTATGTAACACTTAGTCGAATACGAGGATACAATGTCTTCAGAATCCGAATAAATATACGGGAAACTTTTTCACGCACTTCTGAGTCGATACAATACACACTTACGGAACGTATACTCTAGAACGCATACATATCAAGCGAGATGCTATTCACAATTGTTTAATTATTGCAATGAGATCGTGTACCATGTGAAAGCAGTTTAATCATTACAGGGTGTCCCAATTATAACGCGCGTGGTTAAAAAAAGAGGAATGGCGTTACACGATGCAAAGCTATAGTGCACTTAGGGACATTTGTCGTTAATTTTCATCTGTATCAGTTGAGGGCTTCTTTTGGCTCTTCGTAGATATTAGTTTTTTTTGTCTTTCACGACTGAGACAAAGAACTTCTTAGAAGCTACGTCGCTGCATTGCACTGTACTTTGTTGCTTTTGGTCTTGTGGCTTGCAGACGTGAATAACTCATTCTGATTCGGGTGATGGTTCTCGTCATTTCCACTTTTTTGCTTGTATATTACACATAAAGGGTACGGAAGAATTTCTCTAAATTGACACGCGGTGGCTAATTCATTTAATGTATCCGTCCAATGTGCATTAGTTGCCGTACAGGCTGTCTGAGAGAATAAAGAAAAACACTGCAACTTTCGAAGACCAAAATTCATGTGCGCCTTTTTTTTAACCCACTGAAGAACATACCAGAGCCCGCACATATACAACGTATACGCAGAAGCAGTTCTCCGACCACAATTTCCTTCACGCTACAATCACTGAACACGTGCTTTTTTATGGTACATTTGGTTGTTGTGCCCATGCGCTCTATATTCCAGGTGCTGCACTTGTAGGACACATCTAAGTAAACCTTCGCCATCCTCGGGCGACATGATGCGGTCCTATTCGTAGTCCGCGTATTCGCCGCAGGTTTCTTGGTCATACGCCATCACTTGCATGTCGCAGTTTTCCTTGTACTTGTCCGTGCAAATCTGCGGCACATCGTCTTTCACCTTTTTCGTAACCCATAACATGCATTCTGTAGGGGAAAAAAAGAAGAAAATAAAGCACAATAACCTGTAGTCCAGGTACAATTGCGAAGGACAAGAAATTGTTCGGTGGGCTCATTTCTTTGTTACGTAGAACAGATGAAACGGACAGACAGTTGGGCTAACTAAATGAGGGTTAATCTGTCATCGGCAGCCTCGCGCTAAGATTACGTGCCACGTGACAACTTCTAGCAAAAAGAAAATGTTGCGTAATCGCTGCCTTGTCTACGAGTGGATCTGGCCAAAACTGCCAGAGATGAAACGCACATAAATACACTACAAAGTGGACGGGAGAGCGCTCTCTGCCATAGCTCAATCGGTAGAGCATCGTACGAGTAAAGGGCCATGATATGCAAGTTTTCATATATCATGATCTGAGTTATGTCGACTATTCCTTGTACATTCATAAATAAGCTGGCGAAGCTTAAAGCGTTTGGTCGAGCTCTTGATCCTTACTCGAATATATTTTTTGTTACAAACGCGTGACCAGCATGAGAGTCAGGCAACACTGGTGCTGTCGATAGTCGTGACGTAACAAGATTTCGACAGAAAACAATGTAGGGAAAATCTCCCTGCAGCCTTTATTGGCGCTCTGCGCTGTCCCACCCACAACATGGCATACAATCGAACAGTCAAAACCAACAAGCATCTGCCCCACAACACTTCTTCGTCTTAGTCCACGCCACACGCAATTTTCTACAAAGTGTAACTTGCCTTGTGGTCGTCTGCGTTGTGGCAAACGATATGGCTTCGTGGTCAACGAGTCTCATAATCATATGGCGGTTTTGGAATATTAAACTCCCACAAATATTATTATTACATGCAGCTCATATGATTGCTTTGCTGCCACCTTACCGTCTGTGTCCAAATGAGGCATGCCGAAAATGACGCAGTTCTTGTAGTCGGAAAAGTAGAAGTTTGCATGGTATTCGTGCTCGTAATCTGTGAAGGAAATTCGTGCAGTGCATGAATCAATATACAATTCACAATTAGGCTTCGAGACATTGTTGATGCCACTGCTGCTTACCAATAGACTGACTATATAAATTAACTAATCATCAAGACAACGGCTATCTCGAGTTGAGAAGCTTGTTACACGAAACGCGAGGACTGGAGAGAAATTTGAAAAGTATATGGCACGCAATTTCAACATTACACTAATAAAAACTGAAGCCCGCAAGCATACTTGCGTGAAGAATCGATTCACTGAATGTAAAAAAAATTTACTCCAAGCTTTTGTAGTTCATACACAGAAGTGGGTGGGTAGGGTCGAGGACTGCGTCTCATAAACGACCATAGTATTCGACCACGTATGATGCGGCTTAAAAGGCGAACAGTGGCGGTAGTGTTGTGATGACGAACGTGTTTCTTGAGACAGCACAAGGCTATCGTCACGTCAGAATAATGACCACATCTGCTTATCATTACCCGAATTACCGCGAGGGAAGAGCATATCGCCTGTGCGCTCAATGTTACGGAGCACTGAAATTACGGTGCGCAAACGGTCATGTCCCGTGCTATTTTGTTATATTTATCGAGTGTCTTCAGGGAGCGAGATAACAATAAAGCATAACGCATAGAAAGTTAAAAATATGTAGTCCTAGCACATGTTTTGCAAACACATCTTAAACTTTGTAATTCTTTACTCTCCAGCTTTGAGCCGTCCGGCAAGCCGAAGCTACCAACCGGGTCCAAGGACTTGAAGCGGTCACCTGAGGCACCACCATCATCATCAACGACGAAGGTGGAAGGGAACAGGGGTTCATCCCCCTTCCCTCCGCCCCAGCCGTAGGAAACTGTGGGACAATAAATGAAGTTCATTCATTCATTCATTCATTCATTCATTCATTCATTCATTCATTCATTCACACTTTATTAGAAATCCCCTGCTTTGCCTAGAGGCGTCTAAGCAGAGGGGTTACAGCATGAAAAAAAAAACAAGCATTCGTTGGAACAGTAGACTCGGTCACAAGGTAATGAGTTTCACTCTCGTACAGTATGAATACAAAAAAGAATTAGCATAAAGGCTCGTCGCAGTCCAGTATTCTTGAATCTTGAGGTCATGGTCGGATCGTATAGATATAATATTTTGCCCGCCTTCGTTTCTTTAGAAGTTACATGAGTAATCTTGCCTATTTCAGCAATTAATTAGAACGCAAACAGTAAGACTTTTTCTATGCAAGAGTCATCAACAAGCCTTCGGTAATTTCGTTATAAAGTGCCCCAATATATCTTAAAACTGTGGCTAGATTTAGCTCGGGCATGGATTACAAACTTCGTGTAATCCCTTCATGATTACAAACTTCGTGATCGGGCACCCTGTATATATGAAACGGTTAACGAGATATTTCATGTTTCAAGCCGCAATCGGGAAGACTAGGCAAATACGTGCATAGTAGAAAACTCCATGGCGATGATATCCCGCGTGGCAGGAGTCACGTGGCATGCCAAGGTCACGAGCTGCTGCTGAAAAAATTTATTTACAGATGTTATTTACAGGGAGGGTGGGAACGGTCCTTAAAGGGCCGCCCCGTACAAACACTAGGTGAGCTCCCTCTTACGGGAGCCCATTGGCGTTGGCCGCGGCCCGGGCACGCTCGACCAGGGCCGTTGGGCCGTCAGGTCAGAGCAGCCGAGCAGGGCTGCCTCCCAGTCCTCCCGCGAAGGGTAGGCTAGTGGGGTAAGGTTTGGGGTTTTTTGGCACGCCCACACCATGTGGAAAATGTCAGAGGAATTTTCTTCACAATGCGGGCACTTCCCCGTACAAGCGGGGTCAAAGTGTTTCATGATTGCCGGGCACAATAGAGTTTTAGTATAAAGGCGAAGGAGGATTCGCTCCTCCACCTTCGTGAGGCCCTTACAGGGTTTCGGATAGACGTTATGGCCGGATTGGTAAAATTGTGTGACCTCCTTAAAGGTGTAGGCGGGATTGGGTTCGAGTTCCGGATCGGTAGGGGACGAGGATGGTGCCTGGAGAGTGAGTGCGCGGGCGGCGGCATCGGCCGTCTCATTACCATCGAGGCCCGTGTGAGCCGGAGCCCATATGATCGTTCGGTGCGCGGGGGCACCTAGGTAGCTGCTGTTCTGCAAAATTTTGTAAGCACGGTACGGAATGTATCCTTGTTCAATATTGCGACAGGCACCCCTTGAGTCGGTAATGATGACCCTCGAGTCCTGATCTGCGTGGCTAGTGCGATGGCGATCTCCTCCGTGTGCGTAATGTTATGTGCACGGAATGTGAGTCCGTTTACAACGGTGTTTTGGTGGACGACCGCAGCCGTGTACCAACCACCGTGGTGCGGGCCGGAGGCGTCCACGTAGAATACTCCGAATTTGTGGCCGTAGTGTCGAGCCAAGGCTTCCGCCCGCGCGAGGCGTCGGCCACTGTAGTCGTCTCGGGTCATGTTAGCCGGAAGAGGGCGCACGTGCAAGGAGTATCGCCAAACTTCTGGAATCCGTACGCGCTCTTCCGTCTGTGTTGAATGATTGATGTGTAGCCGGGCAAGGAGGCGGCGACCCGACGGTGTTTTAGAGAGTCTAGTATATTGGTTTGTCAAGTGCGCCTCTCTCAGCTCCTTGAAGGTGTTCACCATTCCCAAGCCCAAAAGGCGCTGGTTAGAGGTGCTGACAAGAAGGTCGAGGGCGCTCTTGTAGATTTTGCGGAGAATGAATTCGAGTGCATTCTCGTCGGATTTGCGTAGGTGGAGGTATGGAGCCGAGTACAGGACTCGGCTGGTTACGAATGCATGTGCCAGCCGCAATGCATCTTTGCATCGTAACCCCCCGCGCTTGTTGGAAACCCGGCGGACCATCCGGCTCACCTGGTCCCCCACCTTACGCAATTTGGCCAATGTTGTGTCTGCTCTGCGATTTTTGTGTATAAAAAGCCCCAGTACTCTAATCTCATCGCGTTCGGGTATTGGTCCGCTGTGAAGGGAGAGGTCGATTTTTGTGGTGCACTTTGGTGAGGGGCGTATGTGCACGAATTCCGATTTGGACGGGGAGCACTGAAGGCCGCAGCGACGGGCATAGTCATCCACGATGTCCGCCGCTTGCTGCAGGCTTGCCTCCATGTCTCCTGTCGAGCCGTGTGACCCCCATATGGTGATGTCGTCGGCGTACAGCGCATGCTGTATGCCTCCGACTTTCGCCAGCTGAGCGGGGAGTCTTATAATTGCCACATTGAACAGGAGGGGTGAGAGGACCGCTTCCTGCGGAGTCCCTCTCGTGCCTAATCGGTAAGGGCCGTGTTCAATGTCCTGAATCCGAATGTATGATTGTCGGTCAGTGAGGAATTGTTTAGTATAGTTGAAAGTGTTTTGGCCGCAATCCACCTGTGATAGATGTGTTAGAATAATTTCGTGGGTCACGTTATCAAAGGCCCCCTTCAGATCCAAAGCGAGCACAACTTTGTCATCCAGGGGATACTCGACTGGATCGAGGATCTCATGGTCGAGCTGAAGCAAGACATCTTGCGCGGACCGGTGTGGGCGGAACCCGAACATGGTGTCTGCAAATGCATTTTTGGTCTCCAGGAACGCGCACAACCTGTCGCGCACCATCGTCTCCATTAATTTTCCCACACAAGAAGTAAGGGAGATGGGTCGGAGGTTGTCCGTGTTAATGGCTTTGCCCGCTTTGGGTATGAAGGTGACCAGGGCGGTCTTCCACTCGATTGGTAAACTTGTTTTCCCGATTTAAATGGAATTGATGTAGGCAAGCAGCATGGTGTAGGCCGAGTCAGGAAGATTGGCAAGTAATTTCACGGTGATTTTATCCCTTCCGGTGCCGTTCCTCGCCTCATTTTTGCTAGGGCTGCCTTCAGGTCGTGTAACTGGAACAGCTAATGCAGCTCCGCGTTCTCGGTACCTGCATACGAGTACGCCGGCCCTCGGGAGTCCTGCTGTGTGCATAGATATTGGTCTCGGAGTTTACATGCCAATTTGGCTGTGTCTCCATCGAAGCTGTGAAATGCTCGTTGCAGATGCTTTTGTGTCTCTGTTCGAGTTTGGGTCGGATCAATCAAGGCGCGGAAGAGGCGCCAGGTACTCCGGCTGGACATTTGTCGAGCGGCCGCGTTGCAACGGTCCACCCAGTTAGAGTCAGCGAGCTGGGTCGCGTACTCTGCTGCTCGCTGGGTGAGCTCAGCGATGCAAATTTTGAGCTTTCGGTTGTGTTTTTGCCGGCGCCATCGGCGGACGAGGCTGCGCCGGGCCTCCCAGAGGTGAAGGAGATGGTTATCCACCGCGGGAGTCGCCTCGGAGAATTTAATTTGTGTTTCTGTGGAGCGTAATGAGGAAACCAGTTGCTGGGACCAAGCATGGCATCCTTGCTCCTCAATGGGTGTCGAATTGGCGTATATTTGCCGAAACTTCGTGTAATCGGGTAATTTTGCCTCTCCGTAGGGTCTTGCCAAAGAATAGGTGTGAATGGTAGTGTTGAGTATGCAGTGGTCACTGCCGAGGATCTCCTCAGTGTTGACCCCATCCGCATACAGGATGTTTTTTTCTGAGGGTAAGGTCCGGACATGTGTCCCGGGTCACGGAGTTACCCACGCGAGTTGGGTAGACAGGGTCGGTGTGAAGAGTTAGAACCAGCGTGGACATAAGTTCCGCCAACTTACGTCCACGTTTCTCTTCACGTGCATACCCCAAGAGTGTGCTGGGGGCATTAAAATCACCCACGATCACCAGAGGGTCCCTGCCTGCAGCTTTTAAGGCGCGGCTAAAAAGGTCTGCGAATGTAATGTTGCTTAGTTTCGGTGAGCAATAAATGTTTAGCACGTGCAGTGGCGGGTCCTGTTTACGCAGCGGAAGGAGTGTCACCATCACGTACGAGAAAGCTGGCTTAAGGTCGAGATCAACTAGGTTGGCCGTATAATTTTTGTGCACGCAGATGCAAGATAAAGGGTCCTGCTGAAACATAGTATAGTTTGTGAGTGTGGCAGCACTCCCTGGCTCCTGGAGGGCTACCACAACAGGAAGATTTTGAAATGCTGTGAGGAAAAGCCGAAGGTTGGCGCGCTTAGTGTGAGCCTTAAAGCCCCGACAATTCCACTGGGTGATTTGGATGGGAATGGCCGTATTGGATAGGTCACGAGCCGCGCGTGACCTCGGAGTCGCGCCTTTCTCAGAGCCACGTAGCGGAGCGCGCCCGAGGCAGCGAACGGACTCCACGCGTGTACGTTACTATGATGACGCACGTGCGAGGAGGCTCCGCTTGAAGGCCAACCGCACACACAACAACGTCTTCCGGCGTTCTATCGGGATGATTATTGCACGATCAATCTAAAAATGGACTGAAACTATATTTTGGGACAGGTAGAATTGACCAGAGTCACAAGCAGGTAAGAGCAGTGCCAACTAACCGTCCTCCATCGTGTAGGTGCTCATGTCGAAAGTCGGGCCTGGCTTTATGTGGAAGGTGACATTCCTCCTGTAACAAGAGGAGACACGGAACACGAAAGCTGTACGCATATCTCTACACGTATGTCAGCAATGTGAGACTTTCTTTGGAATTAGAGTTTAGGGGCGAAGCAGTAGTTACGGTACGTAATGTCATCACGGTATGTCATAAACGGAGAGAGAGAGAGAGAGAGAGAGAGTTGCGTTATATATTGAGGAAGAGCTTTGCCTCTGAGAGAGACTTTGCAACGTGCGTGTCGCATGAGTTAAGTCACAAACTCTTGCGATGAGGCTTTGCGACGTCGGCGTCTTATGTCGTCACGCTGTGTCATGCAGCGTTATTCAATTTTATGAGTTGTGAAACTCCCCGTAGGCTCCGTGTATCGAAATCCAGACACGCCCTTGGCCGTAGAACTGACAATGAATAGGGTGCCTTGATGTGCGCGCCCACCGGGGCACTCTAGAAACGAGCAGATTGTCGTGCCACCTATTAAATATGACACCCACAATTAAACGCATTACTTGGGCTTTGTATTGCCGTTTCCAGGTGGCGCGAACGTCAGCTAACACCCGAACAATTGGGCAAACTGCGTGTCCGGATTCTTGAACGCAGTTTCACCACTCGTATAATTGAATAACTCTGGTGTCATGTAGTCCCGGTTACTAGCGGATAGGCGCCACAAAAATGAATAGGCGCCACCGGTCCACCAAAAATGAAGAAAGCAATAGCTAACCAAACAAATGGCTATTGACATCAGTGAAGCTGCAACACCCTTTTTCACATACCGCACGGAACTGAAGCCCGCCACGCAGAGATGAAGGACAACAAAAAGAATAAGGGTAAGCTGCAGCTCGATGCAGCTTTCCGACGACGTTAGCGGGACTGAAACACCCTTGTCTACATGCCCGTTTTGAGGCTTGACACCACTATTTCCTCACCGAGCAATATCTCACAAAACATGCATGATTGGGCCCTCTCCGGGTTTCACTTTAGTGTAGCTAAAAACACCCTTGCCCCCATGCTTCATTCCTCCCCAGTTTTTTTTTTTGTATTGCACTGCTTGTGAGTTTATCCGAGAATGTATAGTCCAACATTTAGTCGTGTTTAAAGCATAGTAAACTTTGCTTCAAGACTAAAATGATAATAAACCAAAGTACTTCGAATTTAGGGGCTTAAAACAGCACCCTCAAAAAACAATTGTTTCACCAACTATAAGTCACAACATAATTCCCCTTCTTTGTCAGCGAAATGACGTTTTTTTTTAGTTTAAATGAATTATTCAAGTAATGCTAAAACATTCATAGAGCTGTTCGCATATAACTGCGTTCTGCAGAGCAGAATAACTGAAGAAGACGACAAATTACTTCTCCAAGCTGATCATAATGTTACAGTGTCTAGAAATATACTGTATATTTCTAGACACTGCAGTGATACCGTTTCTGATTGGTGCAATACGTAGTTAATAGACCTTAGCGTAACTAAGTGTAAAAGCATGACAATCACATGTTATTCTATTCGAAACTTTTCAACTACACATTTAGAGGAACTAAATTGTAGCAGGTTAATAGCTACAAATGCCTCGTTTTCTACATAACAAATGATCTATTGGGTTATTCTGACATTACATAGATTATTAACAACGCTAACCGTTATCTTCGCCCTCCGCCTTCCCCCCTCCATTGCTGCACTAAGGACCAAGGGCTGTCAGCACTTTCAAAACACTTTATGGTGTAACTGCAGGCTACTGTTCCATGCCTGCGCTTGTATTTATTTTTTTGTTCCACTCCTGCGCTCGTCTTTCTCACTATCGTGATTTGTTGTATTTCCTTCACTGCTGTCATTATCACATTTGAAGCGTTAACATTGTGCCCACCCCTTCTGTAACACCCTCTAGATTTTGAGGGTATACTAATAAATATACTAATAAATAAATACTTCGCTACCATGGCAGCTGCTGGAGATATGATCGAAACACGAAAGGTCACAGTTTCCCAGCAAGGACGAAGCAACGAATGAGATAGCAGCAACTTGTAATGTCTCGCGAAGAACGGCAAGCAGCTCGAAACTTGCAGCGCGCTGCTGAAGCTTGAAGGGCTCACAGAAATCACACATACGAGACGAGTGTGAAATAGCAGTTGTCACAGCTCGGCACTTGCAGAGCGCTGCTCAAACACAGAGGAAGGTGCACAAAAAGAACGCACATGTACACACAGTAGAACAACCGTTACAGTTATTACTGAGACAGTTGTTCACATAGTCATCTATAATATAGTATAGAATACTATAGTATAGTATGGTGTAGCAATGGGGTGAAAGATGATAACGCAGGTGAGGAGGAAGTAAAGGAGGAAACAGAGAGAGTAAAGCAAGACATAAAAGAAAAGACAACGAGAGAAATAGAGAGACCGAAAAGCATATAATAAAAAAGGGGGCAAATACATTGAAGCAAAGAAATAATCATTTTAAGGAAGTTTTTTGGGTATTCTCGCTTGCAAAACATCCATTTTTTAAAGCAATACGCGAACTATCCTTGGAGATCATTGTACTCTCCTCGGAGAGTCGTGGGACTCACAAGAAAGTTAACTGGGTTAAAGTCGTCTTATACATGGCAGAGGAGAAATTACCAAGAAGAGTAACACATCATTGTTTTTCCCCTTAGAGTAAAGAAAGAAACAAAAACTGAGGGAAAGAGAATGAAAGAAAGAAAGAGAACGAAGAGAAATAAATAGATATATACTCAGAAATTGGAAAAAAAGAGGAAGGGATAAATGGTAGGAAGAAAGAAATAAAAAGAGAAAGAAAAAACAGACAGACTGAGAGACAGAAGAAAAAAGAACGAAAAAAACGAAAGAAAACAGGAAAGACGTACATGAAAACAAGAGAGGAGAGAGAAAAAGAAAGGCAGAGGAAGAAAGAAACAGAAAGTTGCCAAAACTGGGCAAAACAGCATCAGCTATGACCATGGTGCAAAGATACTTTAGGTGAGCGAACTCTGGGATTATCCGCTGCCCGATAATGTTCTGCTTCGCCATGAGCCTCAGAGATGGCGCTAAAATCTTTGCCCCGGCTCCCTCTTTCTCTCTCAGTTTAGGAAAGTCCTGTGACGAAAGTAAGTAGCGGCTCTTATTTATCGTCTGTCTTATTGTCGTCACAACACCCTCGCCGCGCCGTCAACCTCCTCTCTTGTCAGCCCCCTTTCGTGGCACCCGGGTTGATATCACATGATAACCTGGTTTTCTCAGATATGGAAATCGTCGCCCGCGTGCTGGATGTGCTTTGCGCAATTTGCCAGCAGCACGACATGGTCCTCAGTGCGGCAAGCCATCTATCGGCATGCCACAAACGAGAACATAATCGGTCCCTTCCAGCAAAGCGCTTGCTCCGCGTCGTTTGCTCACCTAAAATATTCGTGCACTGTGGCCATGACTACCAATCTCATCAGCCCCGTTGTCTTTTTAGCATTAAGCATCCAGTGCAGGCTACGTTAATTTTTTGTCTCCTTAATTTCATGTAAAACTTTACGAAGAAAACGTGTGGTTCGCGCTTCGCTTCTTTTTTGTTTTTTCATATGTGTGTTGAATGTGGTCTTAACTGAAACTGAAGGAAGGAAGTGACAAGATGGAGAGAGAAGTGGCCGTGGTATGTTGGCCAGCCTGTACAAACTGGTATGCTACTGCGCCGTGGTGAAAGGGACGGATAAGCTGGAAGCATGCAGAAACGGATACTTAGTAAAGAGAGTAGGGGATGCACGCAGACAAAGTCCCTGGTCCTCACAGTCACGACATCACTATTGACTTATAACTACCTGTGCAAGTCTGTTGTATTTAATAAACGTAAAATTGCCTTCACAAATGAATTCAGTAAAAATTACGTGGTACTTGTTCAGCCCTCTTTGTCGTCGGTCCTTCTTACGTTTCGCTCAGAGCAACTATATTACAATGACGTGGTGAGAAATTTCCTTATCTTACGGACTGTTTCCTTTGAACATCCAGACGTAGGTGGCGCTCGGTTCGCTTTTGTCGAATTGTGTGCGTATTGCGCTGACACAGTCAAGGTCTCCGTCCTGGTCCATGTCGAATACGGCTAGAGCAAAAGGAAAATTCTCGAATACCTGAAAACCAAAACGATGCAACTGTGGAAGTCAATAAAACTGAGGGGAGGGGCACTTTGTTAAATGCCGTAGCGCACATTGTTCCATGATGACTTTAGCGAGAACGATGTAAGCAGAAAACACATGGATAGAACTATGATGACAGAGAGACTAGGTGCGAATGCCATATATTACCCAGCTTTGCATCTCGTTGAATAATATTGTACGAGGGCTGACGTGCTAACTCGCAACGCACTGCATAACACTGGACAATATAGTTCTGTTTCGACGTATTGTTCAATATTTTGCAGCGTTCCACCTATTAGGACATAAGCTCACACACATACCTGAGAGGGTTTGCATCGGCGCCTAATAAAAAGTAGATATCATTATCATTCTTTTGTCAATACCAATACAGGCACATGAACAGATAACACAGTAGATAAATTTAGAGCCACATTACGGTTTTTTTTCCAAAATAGGGCTTATGGTGCTTCTAGTCTTTCAAGGTTAGTCTAAACATATTACACTGTGAGTGTGAGTAAATAGGGAATACATTCCCGCTTACTATTTTAAGTGTCAGGCGTCGTTCAGATATCAAAATATTTTCATCAAAGAAGGGGCCGATTTGCAATATAATAACTTATATCAGTGCGATATCAGCTCAGATAATATATGTGGTGACCGCAATTGCCAACATTGCTACACCCTGATTCTACTCGATGTGGTAATTGTCATGAGAGGCCGTTATAGGACGCGCGCTTATGTAATACTTGGTGCTCACCCTAGTACACAAAAAGCAGAGTATGTGTGATCTTCCATAGAAGGAAAATTAGCTTCATAATATTAGTTATATTAGTCATAATAAGTAGTTGTTAGTGTTTAAGTTATTGAAATAACCTTATGATCATGAGAGACGCCGTAGGGGAGGCTCAGAAAACTTCGATCACCACGCGCTTTTTTAACGTGCACATAAATCTAAGCACACGAGCTTCGAACATCTTCGCCTGCTTAGCTTTATGTAGGAGATATCTATCCCGCTATAGGCGTGCACAGAGTTCTCAAATAAGTGCGATAGGGGAGTCGAAGGGGGAGGGGGTCAAGCTTGCAGCCACTCCTCTTCTCGCCCTCTCATTGGATGAGCCCGACATAAGAGAAGCCCTCAAGGTGGGAGCGTGCGGAGTGCTCTCCTGGACGCATAGCCGAGGCACGAAAGAACAAAGGAGTTCAGTTGAACTGACGGGTGAGAGTCCTGATGGCCTCGATGTGGTCATAATCTAACCGGCTAAATTCTCGGTGTGGTGGCGTCGTATGTAGCAAGGGCCACAAACCCTAATCCATGCACCGGTGGGTCAGCCGGCAACATTGCAAGCACTGCGCAAACTGCGGCGGCAAGGGCTGTCATCACCACGTCCTTCGGATCGGACGACAAAGCTGGCAAAGTGGAAGGAGGGGATGAGGCCATGGTTGAGCTTGACGAGGCTGCAGGCGCACTCGTGGAAGGGGAGGGGGGTGATGTACTACGTGGTTTGGCCCCCAATGATGAGGGCATCGCGGAAGGAAGGTCTCTGAACGACGGCTGTCCCTCCCCACTTGTCGGTGTTGTTAACAGCGATGCGGGCACGCTCTAGTGCTTGGCGGCGAGTCACGGGGTCGTCTGACGAGGCGAGAATCAATTACTACGGCATTGCGCTGGAGCTGCCAGGAGGGGTAGCACGGCTCGTTCATCTATGGGTTTCCGTTGCAGATGAGGCAGCGTGAAGATGTGGTGGGCAAGTTCCCTAGGCGTGGCTTCCACCGCAGCGGAGGCAGCACTCGCCACGTGAGCAGGCCGCCATGGCATGGCTGAAGCGACCGCAGTAGGCGCACAAAAGGGGCCGCGGCTGTCGAGGGCGGTCCGGCATCTATTACTTGTACAGAAACACCTCCGGTGGAACCGCGGTCCCCTAAGAGGTAATCGTGAGGTACCTGCCTCACCAGACACAGGAGACGACAGGGACGGCACAAACGAGATTAACAGCGATGTCGTTGGTTTCGACCGTTGCGTCGACGCTTTAGACGATGCCCACGCAGCTGTTCTCCACGGGGAGTCTCCCCCTCACGTGGATTTCGCAGAGCCGGTCAACCTGAAGGAGAGGTGCTGGATCGGTGAGGGATAGGATGTCGGGTGGCCGGGAAGGCAGACAGGAAAGCCCCAATGGCTTCGCGGGTTGCAGCGAGCAACGAGGAAGTAGGCCTCATTGCCAACTGGGCGAAAAAAGATGGTGCCGCCACGCTTTTCGCTCCGCTGCAGGAGAGGCTGGCGCCTGTGACGCGGGCTCCGATTATGTGTCAGCATCCGGCTGTTGTGAGAGGCGAGGAGAAGTGGTTAAGTGGAAGTCGGGGACGCCAGTTTCCGTCCATGTCGTATCCAAGGTGTGTGGAGATGACGGTAATGGTGTTCGATGTTCTCAAAAGGAACTGGAATGAAAGGATTCTTCCGTCTCTTAAGATTTCACTCGAGTTGGCGTGGCCATGAATGAGTGCTCTTCTTCGCGCGCACCAGAAGGCGAGCTTTGTTGTGTTGCAGCCTAAGGTCATGGCTGCTTATCGCGGAGCATTGGCGATGCATCGTGAAGTTCTTGCTGCTTCGGGTAGAAGCCAGTCTTCTGATTTTGGTTGGCCCGAGCATGATACCGAAGTACAGGTGGTCTCATGCCTCGGGTAGCACTTAGAAGGGCTGTGCGCCCGATGACGCGCAGCAGGCGTCGAAAAACAACGCTCGGGAGGGAGCTAAAAAAATCACAAAATATCCACGGAAGAATGATGAGTGGGATGAAGCGTCCGTCAGTCTCTCCGCGCTTCTGTCCGTCCAAGCTTCTGTAAGTGCGATCATCCGTGGGTCTATCCGGGGGGGGGGGGGAGGTGTTTATTTTTATAAGAAGGAAGAGAAAAGTGAGCCCCGTAACGGTCTGCATCAGGGTGTGACACCTCAACAGTAGCTCACAAGGGATGTTCGTGAGGAGGGATTAAAATGATAGGAATAAAGGTGTAGAGAGAGAGAAAGAGAGATGCGCTAAGCCAGCAAGCGAGGACATATTGAGGGGATAGGAGAGATAGGAAAGATGGAGCATGGTCACAGGAGTCCAAGGACGGCGCACACTTGCGAGAGCTCTTGTCGGCGTCAGGAGATGGCGTAGAGCAAGTCCAGTAGGTCAGAGCTACGCTGTCGTCTGAGATCGGCGTCAGGAGATGACGTAGGGCGAGCCCAGTTGGCCAGAGCTACGCTGACGCCGGAGATCGCGAGGGCACAACCAGTCGGCACGGAATCCAGCGAGCGAGATGGGTCCATCCATCCATGCATTCATTCGTGGATCTGTTCGTGCGTCCATCTGCCCGTCTGTGCGTCCACCCGTGAATCCATCCATCCGTTCGTGCATTCGTTCCTGCGTTCGTCCGTGCGTTCATGCGTCCGTCCGTCCTTGCGTCCAGCCGTGCGTCCGTCCATCCCTCTGGGCGTCCATCCGTTCATTTGTGCATCTGACTGTCCATCCGTCCATCCATCCGTTTTCATGTGTGCCTGTCCGTCCGTACATCTAGTAACACTCCAAGTACAGTCATCTCGCATCTTTTCATCATATATTCATCATACAGAAGGGTTACCAACCAGCAGAAATTCGAAGGAGTCAACAAGAGGTGGCTACCTACTACTACTACCCACATCGTGGACGCATGACCCACCGCGTAAGGAGCTTTGCCCCTAAGAGGCAGCCGTCTCTGTTGAAAACTCAACTCGTTCTCCGCTCCCTTCCTGAGTGCTGTTATCTACTTGAACGGTAGCCAGGATCTCTCCAGGCAGGAGTGGTCTCTCCTCCGGCGTCTGCACATCGGCCACTCGTGGTCTGCGTTCGACGTCATTGCCTTTGCAGAGCCTGCCTGTGAGGCACGCCAAATATTCTAGCATCTTCTCTGTGCGTGCCCCTGTCCTATACTCTAATCAACGCCTTCTTTGTATCTTTAAATGCTAGTAAAAACGCGCGCTTATCAACGGTAGCCGTCAGTCCGCATTAGTTGAAAGAGTGGTCGTGATGCGACGCCACGTGAGGGGTGGGGCTGCTTGCGTCACACGTGCGTCTGAACGGTTTTCCACATAGATGCAATACACGTACATCCCCCTCCAATAGTGTGTGTCTGTGAAATTTGTTCCTTCATACTCCTTTTTTTTTTGTGGCTCGAAGAAAGTATTGAGGGACTATGCTTGAAGTAATGTCGTGGCCACCTCACAGTGCTCTTAAATCACCGCATGCAGTAGTGTCACAGTGACGATTCCCCAGTGACCCCTTGCTTAGCGCTATGAACGGCGGCACGATATATCTCAAAACAACGTAACTTTTACAGAGCTAATGTGACCGACAACATTGTGAACACGAAGAACGCAAGACGTCAGCCCACGGGTCTGTACACAACTGAATAATATATAAGTTCAGACGATTTACATCATGAGGCACTACATGATGGATTCTCTCCCTCATGACCGCCAAGCACACGCAAAGGTTAGGCGATGGGTGAGAGCAGAAAAGAGCTAGAGGAGAAGGTTTTAGTAGTATATTTTAGTACTTTCTGAGGTTTCTTCTATAAGACCATATAATGTTTTTTCATGTGTGGTCGTCCGGATGTCATTTCGTGAAGCTTCTGGTTTATCTTCATTCTTATAACAGTGACTTCTATTTAGTTTTGGTTTAACAAGCAACCGAAAAGGAGGCGCAAGGTGTCACAAAAATACGTGCCCTGGCGACGAACGCACTGGCTCCTAATGAAGGATGCAACAGTGGCGAAATATGAATTTCGACGATCCCTTCACTAGGGTATTTAATACATAAACAAAAAAGTAAATCGTAGAATAACGTACTGTGAAAGCAGTGGCGGTACCGTGCACTTTTTCACCCATTATTTGCGTCAAGAGCGTCGAGTAAAAGGCACAAAATACCAGAGTAGCACAATACCGACTAAGCAACCGCATCTTGTTCCACTAGCTCACTGCAGCATTGGGTGCAAGGTGCTGTGTGTGTTTATATACAGGCTTCTAATCTCGCCCCTTTTGCCTCTTTGGGTTTTGTAAAGTGGCTCCATGTGCAAGCTCGCACGTTGGATGATAATAGTATCGACAATGCCGTGGATAAAAAAAAGTAGTAATCCCGACTCAATCGTAATTTTTTTAATCGATGCAGGTGCAAAATCAAAGTTGCTCGACGCCAGTTTACGAGAGGTTCCTCGTCACTCCGTTTTTTCTTTTTTTTAATTTTCTAGCTGTATTCTTGGGTTCGCCAACGTTGTCGCTAATGACTTGGTAACTAAACCGCAGGCCCTTACACCCACGCACAAATAAAATTATCCCAGAAGAGGATGTGTCAGATTCATTAACTCATATCTTGTTTCAAACTATATGATTAGCTGCCACGTACGAAATGACGTGCCGTGAGTGACGGATGGTCGGAACGTCAGAGGCATCTCTTTTACGACACGGGGCTTGCTTTCGGTCTATTTGTTCATTTCGACCCCGATTGTACTGACCTGGTGTGAGGCCAGAATTGTTTCTTCGTGATGTGCACAGTACGATCACACGAAGCGCGAGCGGGCGCTATGCAAGCTGTAGTGCAATTTATTTACGAACAAACGGCAGGCAATCTTCTTTGACAAGCGGCCCCGCCATGGTGGCCTAGTGGCTAAGGTACTCGGCTGCTGACCCGCAGGTCGCGGGATCAAATCCCGGCTGCGGCGGCTGCATTTCCAATGTAGGCGGAATTGTTGTAGGCCCATGTGCTCAGATTTGGGTGCGCGTTAAAGAACCCCAGGTGGTCAAAATTTCCGGAGCCCTCCACTACGGCGTCTCTCATAATCATATGGTGGTTTTGGGACGTTAAACCTCACATATAAATCAATCTTTGACAAGCGCACATTCTCGCTATTAAACTTGCCATAACTGACGCCTTCGCGAGTTGCGTCATGCCATTCACACGCCACATGTTCCACCGCAGTTCGTGACTCCTTAATAAGACCGTACTGCGCTTGTATATCTTTGCTTCTGTTTTCTGTGAGCAGAAATCTGGTCATACAAGAAGCGAATTCAACAAGAGGGTTGCTTTGTTTGTCTGCCATCTGCAGGAATTTTAACATGGTAGCGTTAAAAAAGCTCATTTTGTGGAAATTCCGGTGTCGTTGATTGCGAGCGAAAAATGATCATTTTGTATGATCGAAAAATTGAGAAAAATGCAACCAAAATAAATAAATAATGAAAATTTCCGGGATCAATTGAAGATATGAAATGCCGCCTGGGTGGTAAGCAGTTGTTCTACTAGACACCCAAGTGTTTCTCTTTCTTTAAATCATGATATTGCCATGTTCCATTTCCAAAGTTTTGTTATCGCTCCAAAACACTACACAATTCTCAGCGCAAACTGCGCCTGCAATTTTAGAGAAGCTTCCGGACTTTAGTAGATCATTTCGATAAGATCACGTCCACTCTGCGAAATGTACAGATTATTCTGGAACCTACGCCACCACCAGCGATAACGCTAGAACATTCAGATGTCACGGGGTCGTGACGTGGACGAATGGAGCACACTACGACTCGAATAATCAATTGTTTATTTGGGTGAGCCTGTGCCCAGTAAACGGAAAGTCGGACTACAGTAGCAGTCGTGGAGCGTCGGCCGTCGATCAACTACTGACAAGCGGCGAAGTGCGTCGGCATTTATACTCTTGCCATTGAATGTTCTAGCGTTGTCGCTGGGGGTGGCGTAGGTTCCAGAATAATCTGTACAGTTCACAGAGTGGGCGTCATCTTATCGAAATGATCTGCTAAAGTCCGGAAGCTTCTCGAAAACTGCAGGTGCGGTTTGAGCTGAGAATTGTGTAGTGTTTTGGGGCGATAACAAAACTTGTGAAATGGAACATGGCATTATTTAATAGAATGCGTTTTAAACTAGTACACAGTATTGCATAGACTTACACTTTTGCAGTTCCACTGCGACAATACATGTACGAGCTCTGCTGAGAAAAAGAAACTCGAAGACTGATGTTATATAATATGGGGTAGTTCTTCATAAAGTGCTGCACACAAAACAAAAACTAGTGAGGCTAAGCACCTCGACACGATGGGGTGCTAGTCCAACCTAAAGTCAAGTTGATCGTGAACATCCTTTAAGTGAATAGCCATTTGGATGAAATGTGGGCGTGAAGAGGTGATCAGCTCTGCGTTGCAGTCTTGCATACGTATCTTCACAGACTGTATACAGATTAGGAAAAACATGTCGGACAGGGAGACCACCAGGTGGCGCCGTCATGTTTGGCTGACTTTTAATGTCATGATTTTTAATGATAATGAAGGTTGTGAGCTTAGGATACAGGAAGTCACGCTAGAGATAACAGATAAATACAAATATCTGGGCGTCTAGATGGGCAATGGGACTGATTACCTAAGGGAACACGAAATATACGTGACGACTAAAGGTAACAAGAATGCGTGATGAAAAATAGGGCACTGTGGAATTATAATAGGTATGATGTTGTGAGGGGAATATGGAAAGAGTCCTGGGCTGACGTTTGCCAATGCGGTCTTGTGCATGAGATCAGAAGTTCAAGCAAGATTAGAAATTAAGCAACGTGGAATAGGTAGGGTTGCTTTAGAAGATCACGGGAATAGACTAAATCAGGGAGTACAAGGTGATATGAGATGGACATCATTTCAGGGCAGGGAAGCTAGCAGCAAGATAAAATTTGAGAAACGATATAGAGAAATGGGAGAGGAGCGTTGGGATAGGAAGGTTTTCAGCTACTTGTACATGAAGAATGTCGATACAAAATGGAGGAAGCGAACCAGGAAATTGACTGGTAAATACTTAGAAAACAGCAGGGGCCAAACCAAAAAGAACTATCGATTAAGAAGAAGGTGAAGGAAACAGAGACTGACATGTGGAGAATTCGCATGATTAAGAAGTCCACACTAGAGATCTATCGAACCTTTAAGCAGAAAATTCCGAAGGAAAGGATCTATGATAATACTCGGGGTAGTTCTCTACTGTTTGAGGTCAGGATGGGAGTATTGCGAATCAAGACATATCGGGCCAAATACAAAGGGGTAGACACAGTATGCAGTGCGTGTGGAGAGGAAGAGGAAACTGCCGAACACTTGATAGTGTTCTGTAAAGGGCTTCACCCTATGGTTCAAAACGATGGCGCACAGTTTTTCAAAGCACAGAGGTTCAGAGACAGGAAGGGCAAAATAGACTTTAAGTGGGTAGAATTAACTAGAAGGAGGTTATCTGATTGGTGACTAAAGTCGAGGCACGAGTGAAAATTCAACCATTCAAAGCAAAGTACCAGTATTCATATCACTATTTAAAGAAAAAAAGACAAATCTAGTTGTTGGTTCACTAAGTAGTACGGCTAGGTGGCGTTAGCCGCCGCCCGATCTAAAGGGTACAGCCACATCCATTCATCCATCGATCCAGCTCCACACAATGCTCCGCTTTCACGTGTTCTTGGCCCGTTACCAGGCTCTGCCCGTGTCTAGACAAGCTCACTATTCTTTCTAGAAGTCTTCCGGGACATGCCGACACCACCCGGGCCCCGGCCCGACACCAAGCTGGCCCTCCAGGCCCCTTCTAAAGTACGAAGTGGCGCGGCACTAACCCTAGTGCACCGCGCCGGCACCTCCGCGATGCAGCGTCCCGCCCAGAACTCGACACCTTACGCCCTGTCGATAAGCCCGACAACTTACGCCCTGTCGGTAAGCCCGGCCTCCTCCGGTCGTACCCCTGATACAGCCGTGCCTCCGCTGTCAACATCTGGCTATGTCACCAGCCCCGCGCCGACAACAATATACAGCAACAGGCAGTGTTCCTCAACAGCGCGCATGGTGCAGCAACGTGCAACGCTGGCAGCGTGTCTGCTTCTCCCAGCTTGATAACCACGCAAACGCCGGAGCCGGAGAGCCGTAATGCAGCGTTGGCGTTGTCATCAACCTCGCCTGCTTCTCTTCCCACCGTATCTGCACCTTGCCTACCCATCAGAAATTTCGAGTCTTTCGACAAGCGCGTTTAGACGAGCATCGTTCCTTCCATCACTTCATCTGACGACTCATCGACGGAAATGGACTTCATGGCATCGCAGGTCAACGAAGACAATACGCCACCCCCTGAAGGCAGCTGGAACACCATTAGTGCCAATTGAAAACCTGCCTCGACCACCCGCCCTCACTCCGAGCTCATCACCGTCAGAATCCAACTTCCACCCGGAACACTCACGCCGAAACTGCCTCTCTACGACCTGCTTTCTACCATCATAGCCGCCGCAAATCTCTGTCCTAAGACAAGTGCGGAGGTCACCCTTCAGGCCAAACCTGCTCAGAGCCTTGTGTTTCTGAAAATGCACTCGCCCCTCACTGCCCACCTGCTACTGTCCCTTACAAGTCTGGAACTTAACGGTAAGCCGATCACCATTAAGCCCTATGCCCCCAGTTCTCCAATATCATGGCTCGGCGTCATACACGACGTCGGTGGTCACTTCACATCGTCTCAGCTCTTGCATGACCTCGAATCTTTTACTTCAGACATACTCGCGGCACGTATGATGGGCTCCACTGACTCTGTCCTCGTAACATTTGCTGGAACCGTCATCCGTTGCTTTGTGTATTTTAAACGCGTCTCTTTCCGATGCCGTCCACATAAACCTAAGCCCCCTACTTGCATTTCGGTGCCTTGCTATAGGGCACCGTGCTCATCAATGACCCCAACACAGCGTTCCGGCCAAGTGCCACCACTGTGCGTCTTCTCTGCCAGCAGATCCGATGCTCACGTTTGCACCCAACCCTGGAGCATCCATTGCCAAGTCAACATCGAATCATCTCTCGACTCCACCTACCCCTACCTTCTAGCTATGCAGCGCGATTGCGCCAAAGCAGCTTTTCTCCGTCGCACAGCCATGCGCCGAGCCACTTAGCCTTCGCCGCCCTCCTCTTCAGCGCATGAGTT